ATCCCTTGTAGTACCGATGTGCCTGCCTTCCAAAAAGCAAAACAACACAAAATCCAGGGAAGTAGATGGCAAAAGCAACTGATTTCCCCATGATATTAGGAGGGCACTGAATCTGCAGAGGATGACACTGATTCCTGCACAGAATTTAAGGAACCATGCACAGAATTTTACGGAAAGTAAACAAAGACAATTTGCTGGTGGAGAAAATCCCAGGAGGGGAGGAAAAAAGACAAAAAAATCGTAGAAAGAACTATACTATGGGACAGCATCTAGATTTACAGCCCTAGCACTGGATAACTTTTCTTAAAATGATTTTCGGAATCACTTTAAGGCTGAAATATAGTAGTAAGTTCCAACTAGAGTAGGCTCATTGAATCAATGAAACCGTATACAGTATAGTTGTTGAAGCGCCTCTCCCCAAGTCACCCTCCAATGCAATTGGATCCTCTCAGGCTATGCTCCTCCAGGTGGCTATGCTGAAGGAAGTTAGAAAAACTTTTATAAGAAATCAGGTCTTCTTGGTGGTGGCACCAACTCTCTGGAATCACCTCCTGGTGAAGCTATTCCCTGCTAACCTTTCTCCATAATTTCATGAGGCTGCTGAAAACACTCGTGTTTTTGAGAGGCCTTGGATGGCAGCCTCTCTTGAATTTCTCACCCCTGTACTGCTGCTCTGAAATGCTGTGCCATCAGGGCTCAACACCGGTTTATTCAGTTTGCTGTTGTTTAACTTTATACTTTGTTTGATTATGCTCTTCTGTCGTTTTATATGTATACCACTCAGAAGTGTTGAGAAGTAATGGACGGCATACAAATACAATCAATCAATCAATCAATTTTGAATCACCAAATCCCCAGTGATTCAGTGGGCCTATTCTAGTTGCAACTTACTAGTGGATTTCAGCCAAAGTTTAAGAAGCAAAAAGGCAAGTCAGACCACAAAATTTAGTCTGAAGTATACCAGTGGTCTTCAGCACTGCGCTTCAGGCATCAGTGTGTCCAGACACATATAGACTTGCCCCCAACATTTTCTGCTTCCCCACTGGGGAGTAAAGTATGTTCTGTGGTGAAGAAGTATTTCCTATTGCCTTTTTTAAACCTAGTATCACTCCACTCCACTTGATTGATCTCAGGTTGTAATTTTTTGTCCTCTGTCTCTTCATATAATTTGTGATTTTATGACCTTCACTTATAATATGTTTTGATGTGAGGCCTGCTTGAGGAATAATTTCCGTAGAAATGGCTTAATTTTCTTTCTAGATGTGTATCAAAAGCACTTGGCATTTATGTAGGCAAGAATAAAAAGAATATCCACAAATTAGCAAAGGAGGGGTAATCAGCAGTCCAAAGCAAGCCTTACATATTTCGTAGGTTCAAAAATCTTTCATGTCTTTCAGCGTAATCCTATCTTAGTGAATTAATGGTTTGTAATGGGACTTCAGAGCTGGCACAATTACTCTTGTGCTGACTGATTTCAAAGATCTGTCAATGCAACTGCTGTGCTATTTAAGATCAGCCAGGCAAAGGGATAGAAGTGGGCAGAGAAGGGATGGGGTAATGGAAGAGCTAATTTATGTCAGATCCAGACCTCCTATAGACCAGAGACACAACCACTATGCCAGCACAAATTTAGGCCACAGTGAGAGTAGTCCTAATTAATTTCTTACATTCCTACAACCTGGAAGAGGTTCAGTTTCAACATAATTTTGTGTGGTTAATGTCAGCTCAGTGGCCCTCAACCACTTAATTTTGTGTGGTCTAATGTCAGCTCAGTGGCCCTCAACCACTTTGGATAGTTAAAACTGGACTCTTATTCTCTTGACCAGAATTATAGAGTGTCCTTCATTTTGAGATTCAGATTACAGTACTTCATTAATAAGTGCTATAGTAAATTACCTCAGTTTGATCTGCTAGTTCAGCTGACTTCAAGGGAACTGTTACAGTTTCCCTTTGTGTTTCAAGTACTTTCTTTAGAAAGTACCTCTCTTTCCTGGAAACTATTTCTGTATTACCTTTTTTAAAAAACTACATTCTCCCACCTCCAGTTTTTCAGTATAAACAGCATAGCCTACAGCCAATAAAATAAAATAAAATATGCTCTTCTCTTCATCCTTTAAAACCACTACAAGTAATCTTGTATTCCTGAGTGATTTTACTAATCACTCATTAATGGTTCTTCCAGAAACAGCATTTGTACCACCCTTTCTGCCAGGTTTTCCACTGATTTATTTCATTGGAAACTTTGAATAAATTCATATGGCATTCTTCTTATCTCTCTTTGTACCATATTTTCCTCCAGGTTCTCAGACCATCTTCTTCCTTATACCCTTGGTTTATCTTTTATGCCACTTTGTACTGGGGGGATAGAATTAAGCACTATTTTATTTCCCAGGCACCTCTAGCTGGCAAGTTCAGCACTGAATCACTGCAGCACCTGCTCCTACTGGAAAGGAAACGAAAATATTTCTTGTTTTTAGCAAAAATTCCCCACAATTTCATCTTTTGGGTTTCACGTTCAAAATGACACAGAGTATACATAAACATAAACCTTACATAAATATATGCATACATAAACATAAACCTTCCTCCAAGCTGCTATTTCACAGGTGCTGCTTGCCAGGTGCCCCTTGCACTTTTTTCTTCTTATAATGAAGAGATACTATCACCACTTCTGCCTCAGTTACTGTAATCTTCAGTAGAGAAGATGCCGTGAGGTGTTTACAAACACCAAAGCACGGTAGTACTCAGAGGTTAACATTTAGAATGCTAATTCTGCTTAATACAATGATTTCACTTTGACAAAAGAAAGTGAAACAAAGTAGAACGAATTATGCTTCTGAAGGAGTCATAAGACTTCTCTGGGCCAAATAGTTTGAAAGACTTCTCTGGGCCAAATATTCTGAAAGAAGAATTTGTGAGCATATATGTATCTTTCATATGGATTACAGTGCTCAACCAGTTATTTCATTAACAGCATTAGCTCTACTTATACTATGCTGTTTATATTCCACATTATTTTGGACATGTACTGAAGCTGCAATCCTAAACATCTTTTCTAGGATGTAAATTTTGTTAAACTTAGTTCAATTTAATACTTAATAAATAAATTTTGCTCCCCACTACAGTAATACATTAGAATGGAAATTCCTCATTGAATATATGTGTGCTCATCTTTCTCCGCCTTGTTGATCAAACAGCTAAAGCATTAAATTACAGCTACACTCTATGTCATTTGGCATCAGAAGTATTTCATAAGTTTCATTTGGGCATAGAAAATAAATATCTCCAACATCTGAACATTCTCATATTGGAATGGCACAGCATTGGATGGCATATTCAGGCCCATTTAAAGAAATAAAAAAGTGCAAAAAACAGTATTACTGAAGTCATTGTGTTCCTCCTTTTGCAGCCCATCCAGTTTCATTTATTGTCACAGTCCATGGCTATATGCATTCAGCTGGATCCAATTAAGCAACTCAACTGAAATCAACAAGGCTAAAGTTAATCCTAATTATCTTATGTCCCATTGGCTGTCTAACCTAAAGAGAAGCACTAGCAGTAACACACCTCTCTACAAACATTTGTATAGGGTGGGCTCTAAGCAAAGAGATAGTAGACATTGTAAGTTACTCTGCATCTTGGCAACAGTCAAACAAACCAGTAAGCAAAGCCAGAATGAACAATAGATAGGAGTCAGGTCCACATAATTCTGGTTTTATCCAGTAACAGCTGGTGCCCATGGGGACCAGTAGAGTGGGGTAACAATGGAAGAGATGCTAAAACAACAGTAGATGAGGCAAATACATTTTAATTTCTCCCTCCCCCATCTTCCTCCCTTCAAATAGCACTGAAGTATGCAACTCATCAAATGTTAATATGTAATCAAACTAAATGATCACTTATGTTGACTAAGTATGCACTATGCACTTGATTCTCTGTGAGGGAAAAAGTGTGGCCTCCAAAACAACTTCTAACTACCACATAGTGTTGAGAGGAAGTGTTACAGTTGCCTTAAACATTCACTCTTCACCATTTTGTTCCCATCCTCTTCCAAAATTGCAGCAAGTTGTGTTTTACTACCCAGCAAAATCTCAAGTTATTTCAAAGTGCCCCCATCAACTACCCTGAAAAGAGATCTTATTTCCAGTGGATCTCACAGCAGTGTCCAAGTTCTAACATTTCCATTGGGAGGCTTCCTTGCAGAGATCTACCTTCTTCTAATACTGATGATCAGAGGTGTGTACAAGCAGCCTTGTTTTTGAGGACTAGTAACAAATAGCACAGCCCAAAGAGAAAGGTGCTCATATACGTCTCTGGCCAAGGGCAAACTACACTGCAGGTGTGGCAGGGTAAAGGAAAGTGAAGTATGTGGACCAGAGTTGGAAGGAGCTATGGACATGAAAATCTCAGCCTCTAAGTAGTATATGCCTGAACAAACACCATGTCCATCTTGGATTCTTATGATTGCACAAACTATACAAGTATTCCTTCACCAGGGTCTTTTCGCTTATGTGCTTCTAACATTGCATTAAGTACCATTTCTATCAAGCACTCAAAAGAAGGAATTATATGGTACTACAGTAGTTGAATATCTTCAGGTGAGCCAGTATGGTGTGGTGGTGGACAGAGTACTGTCCTAGAACATCCAATTCAAATCCTTGTTTGGCCATAGGAACTCACAGAGGGGTTGGCAATGGTAAAACCACTCCTTAAATATCTCAGATACCTTGAAGCCCCTATTAGGGTCACTGTAAGCAATGTTACAGTAAATATTTTAAAATGATTAAATAATTATTAGATATTTAAAACGTAAAAATTAATTAAAATGTCTAAAATGTGAAGACAAACGTCTCAAAACGCTCTCTCAAAATAGACACTAATCATTACGGTACAAAACAAAGTTCAGGATCTCTAACGTGCTGGGCAAAGCACCCCTTCAGGTGTCAGGTAATGTCACTTATGTTGCTTGACTTCTAAGCGGGAAAGAGGAGGCATCGGATCACCAGGAGCGTCCGACCTCCATGTATGATCCTCAGCTCCACTTCCTCCAAACCCATTAAGGTGGATAAATCAGTATGCAAGAAGCGGGCATTGGTACAACGTGTGAATAACAAAGCGGGCACAGGGCATGTAGGGGGGGATTCGGATTGGCAGCAGCGTCATCTGCTTTTCGGAGGAGATAACGGCTGGGTGTGGGTTGTGCTTGCAGCCGCCGCCGTGGCCCCTGCTCTTTCTGGCAGAGGACGAGCAGGAAGCGGAGGGAAAGCGTCTGTGCCTGCGCAGAGCGGTAAGCGCCGTATCCTCTTTGTTTCGGCAACCATAGGATGTCGCTTTTGATATCAGGCCTATTTGGGACCGTCTATCGCGCGTATGCAAGGGAAGAAACCGGGGAGGCGGCGTGTGCTCTGGCTCGTCCCGCCGCCCGCGCTGGACAACGGCATTTCTATCCTGACCTCTTTGCAGGGCGGCGGCGACACGGTGGGCTTCGTCTCTGAGGGCAGAAAGCGAGGAATTCTCATTTTTCCACTGAGGGAAACTTTTCCCCGGAGGACTCAACTGGTTCCTGTAGCGTTTTTTTCTCCCCCTCAGCTGTCAAACCCTATTTGCTCAGGGAGCTCAGAATTTCCTTCTCTCCCTTACTCAGAAGTAAGCCCCGGTGATTCTTATGGGTTTACTCCCAAGAAAACACGTCTACCTAGGACGGGAGCCGGACTCTTTTTTCCTGGTTAACGGTTGGCTGCCTTTCATTCAGGCTGCTCCGGAAGACTCCCTCGCTCCCTCCGTCCCTCCAAGCTGAGAAGAGAGTCAGGGCACATTCTTAAGGTGGCGCGGGAAGCGAGAGGGAAAGTTTTCTTCGTAGCCTTGGGCAGCCAGACAGGAGAATGCCTTAAGGTTTTTGCACATCCAGAGTGCTGTGTCAGAACAACCTGTTTATGCAAGCGTTCCGGTAAAACAGGTCGCTGATGGGAACAGAAACTGGGGCACCCTTACATTTTGCCTTGCCCCAGCTCTTTAATGTAGCAGGAAAGGGGATAAATAAACTGAACTGAATCACACCAGCAGTGCAATCGTATCTGGTATGCCTCCCTATTATACCGACTAACGCAGCAGGTTGAGGCATCCCTCCTCTTTACACTGATTTTCAGACACTCCTTCCCTCCCCATGCATTTTTTGTAGCTCTGCAAGTAAATATCCCCTCCAAGTTTCCTTTCGAGTCGCCTCCACTGTTCTGTACCTTGGATGTAACTTGGAAAACTGATACAGTACCTGAAAATCTCTAATGACCAGATGTTATACATTTTTATAAATTTTTCTTGAACTTGTTATCCTTTATGTTGTAAGCCGCCTAGAGTAGTCGAAATGACTAGATAGGTGGAGTATAAATACAATAAATAAATAAATAAAAGAAAAATTCAAATGTGGTAGCATAAACTTCTTCTGGATGAGAAACTGGATTCCTAGTTCCCTCCTAAAGACTGTTTTTTGACAGACCTCAAAATGACAGGAGGTCATTAAGGTATTAATTAAATGACATGAAAGTCTAATTAATTTTGGATTGACATTAGTGGGTAAAGTTTTAGCATTATTTAGTTTTAAAGTAAATTCTTTGAGAAATTGGCATACATTATGCTGCACCATTTGGAGAACAAATTTTGTTCTTTATACCTTCAGATTGGCTCTTTTTGTAGGTTAAAGGTGTCTTTTCTCATTCTGTCACTTTCCAGATGCCTCCGACGACAAATCACAGAAAGTCTGGCTGGGGATGGTAGAATATGTAGTCCAAAAGATATATGAAGTTTCCTAGGTTTGGAAATACTGTCCTAAAGCATTAACTAGCCAGCTGTTCAAGTGAACTTTGTCTTTGACCTGATTTCTCTTCCTTCCTTCCTTCCCACCCCTGTAATACCTATGGTGTATAGTGTTGTTTCAAACACCAGAGACTATTGTCTGGACCAAAAAAAGGCTAATAAAGAATTATTGTTCCCTCTGGAGCATAATGGCCCATTACAAAACTGAAATCTGCAAAGATTGTTAAATCAGAAGTGGAGAATTCTTTATCACAAAAATGTCGGATGTTTCTGAGTTTATGGAGGACATTTTGTGTGTGTGCACAACTGAATACTCCCTACCTCCTCACCAACTTAGAATTAAGAAACATGTAAAAAAATAGTAGTCCAAAAATGATTGAGAATGAAAGAAATATATTTTTAACATTTCTTATATTGACATGTTTGAGCTTATAAAAGCTGTGTAGTAATTTTTTTCAAATTCTCCCACTTTTGCTTTTTCTAACAGAAGCTCTTGATTCTTTCCATCCTCTATCTCTGTTAGGACAACTTATCTTACACTTACGTACACACATACCTTAAACCGGCTTCCTTGTTTGCTAATTTGTAGATACTCCCATTAAGCAGTTTCATCCTGCAATCAGGGAATTTACGGGGTAGAGCCCTTCCTGCAATGGTAGCTTCACTTTTCCTTCTGCTGACAATAAAGGAAATTCTTTTCATGCCTTTGATGCTGGTTATACTGTAGCTCAGCAAAACAGATACACTGATACTGTACTCGTAAACATGTAGAAGTTGTAGGTAAAAAGACTAGTTTGCAGCTGAATTGTCAAATATTGTGGGATTTGCTCTGCTTATAAAATGGGTGAAATCGCAGTGGTTTTTAAAAAACTTTCTATATCATGCAAAGGCTGATTAGAATCGTTCCAACCCTTTTTGTTCTCAAAGCAGCTTTTTCCCCCTGCCCCATGGTGGCTTTTACTTTTTCAAACTGGAACTATTTAAATGGGCTTTCCCTGTGTGGTTAGTTGTGATATGTTCATGTAAAGACAGAGAGTGTGTCTGTATGTGGTGTTTCAGTGATGTGGGCAGTTGGGGCATGACGTTCATGACTGAGAGAACATGCCCTCAAATTATTTCCTCTCTACTGATCACCTTCTGCATTAATTTTTTTTTAAAAAAATTCTTACATATATGATATTAGTACAGTACTAGATCACCCTATTACCTTATTGCTGGGTCATCATTATTATTGCTTCCCATATTTGTGCCCCATAAAAGGGTCAGCAGAGGTGGGACCAGAGAAAGGAAGGGAAAAAAGGAAACAGCTTAAATGCAAATCACATCATATCCAATAGGAACAGTGAACTCCCAACCACTCTGTGGCCCCTGACTGCAATTTCAGACATACCGTAATACACGCTGTGAATGAAATCACTCTCAAACTGAATCACTATTTGGCTTTCCATTGTAGTCACAACCTAAGGTGTGATTAAATTAAGTTATTATGTTAATGCGATTTGGCCTCTGTTGAACTAAAAGTTCATAGATTTCTCTAGTTAAAAATCATTTATTCTAATCCAATAATTCATTCTAATCGCCTCCAATTTCCAGTGACCCTGTGAATGAGTCATCTCCAAAATGTCCTGTCCTCAACAGCACTGCTCATCTCTTGGAAACTCAAGCCCATGGCTTCCTTCAGGGAGTCCGTCCATCTCATATTTGGTCTTCCTCTTTCCTTGCTGCTTTCCACTTTTCCCAGCATCATTGTCTTTTCTAGAGAAGCTTGCCTTCTCATGATTTCCCTCTCATATTGCATGTCCTCATACATCACATGTTCTACATACGAAAGCATGTAGAAAATGGTTGTTCATGTATGTGATTGAGGTTCATTGTTCATTGGTGGATGTTTTGGAATGTGAGAGGTTCGTCTTTTGAAAGGGGGGGAGAAATAGCCCACCTTCTAGATGCTAACATGTAGAGAGAACAAAAATGATTACTTAGCTTAGTTCTAGTCATTATTTTACTTGGAAATAGTAAGCTTATTTTAAATGTTGTAGCAGATGGATATGCCTAATGCTTAAAGTCTTTTAATGCAACAACTGTATTCTAATGAAACTACTTTATTTTCTTAATCAAAACGAATACAATTCTTCGACGCAGGACTGGTCTCTTGAACAGCAGGACTTATACCTAAATCCAGTGAGGATTTGAGAAGGTCAATAGTTGCTACTGTAAATTGAGAGGTCCTACCTGGTCAGGCTGTTGTGCTGTCTAAGGAAGCACACAGTCAATGGTTTATTGCTTTGAAAGTAAGCAAAGATTTCTTTTAAGGTCAGGTTTGTTCATGGGGCTTGTACTACACACTTCTGAGGCCTAAAGAACCTACCTCAGGCACTAACGGTGGTAGTTTTGCACCCACAGTGACTCCTTGACCAAGAAGATCATTGTCTCTTTCCGGAGAGGTGATCGTGACGTGGTCACCAAGAGCCTGGAAAGACCTGGTTTACCAGGGAGAACCCTCCCATCTCCTGGAGATCATCCAAGCAGGGAAGAGTGCTACGCTAAGCGATTTCAGACAGTCAGCAAGAAGCAATGGGACTTTAGAAGAAGGCTGGGTGACTCAAGAGAGGCAGGGGGTGTGGTGTTCCTGTGGTGACCGCCAAGAAAAGGGCAAAAGTGTCAGTCTGAGAGAACAGGGAGCCCGCTCCCAAATCTACAGGCTGGCAATACTTCTGTTGGGGCCAACTGAGAGCTATAGAAGCCTGGAAGCTTTCTAGTTCTCCAGAAAACTTCATCAGAAGAGGAAGCACCCAAATTTTGAGGACAGGGGAGAAAGTCAGCTGGGAGCCGCCTCACAGCTGCATCTGGTGCCATCTTGCCTGATGCAGCATTCTGGAAAACTCAAAAGCTTGCACTCTTGTCCCAATAAAGGTGTTGCTAGTTGTCTCTTGCTGGGTAGGTGAGGACAGGCACAATCCCAGGGTGGCCAGCACAACACAACAAAGCTGCTCTTTGCCAGGAACGGGGTGGCTGCTTTGAGAAAACACTGCCCTCTAAATGATGATTCGGTGGGCACAGAGCCCCATGGATCCACTTGATAGGTAGGAGGGCACCCAAACCACAGTCCATTCATAGGCCCCATTTTTGCCATAGATTACAATACAGAAATCATGGGTCCCCCAGTGCATGACTTTGCAGTGGCACAAAAACATTGTTTCACATGATTTTTATACAGGGTCATCTGCAAACCACTGAACAATCATCAGCCTTATCTGTTCCCACAGACTACAGCACAGATACAGTATCATGGATCCCACAGTGCATGAATGTGTGGTGATGCAAAAACTTAGATTTGATGCTCTATCTTCATGGATCCATATGATTTTTATGTAGGATCATCCCCTCACCAACACTCCAATCATAGGACCCATCTGTTTCCAGCAGACACCACAGACATCATGGGTCCTTCAGTGCATGACTGCAATGGTGTAAAAACAGGATATTAAGCACAGATCCTTATGGATCCACATGATTTTTATGCAGGATCATCACCAAATCCTGAGCACACAGCTTTGCAGTGGTGAAAAAACACCAATCTAAGGCACAGATGACGAAACGATAACAACAACAAGAACAACAACAACAGGATGTTTTAGGAACAGAGTACATACTGGACCAACATTTAAAAGATACTTAGGTTTTTGTATGTTATGTAATACCAGTCAATGCTTTTACATTAACAACAACAACCTTAGAACTGTAGAGCTGGAAGGGACCCTATGGAACATTAAGTCCAGCCTCTGTCAAGGAGGCACAGTGGGGAATTGAATTCCCAACCTCTGGCTTCACAGCTAGAGACCTAAACCACTGAGCTATCCAGCAGCTCTTGGATATACCTGATTATTGCATGGGATCATCTTCAAACTACTATCCAATCATGAGGCCCATCTGTTCACAGACGACATCACAGAAATCATGGTTCTCAAAGTGCATAGTTTTGCAGTGGTGCAAAAACATAGTTCTGGTGCATGGATCCTCAAGGATTCACATGATTTTCATCTAGGATAATCCCCAAACCACTATCCAGTAGTAGGCTCCATTTGTGTTCATAGATTATAGCACTGATCCAGACACATTTAGATTGGTCAGAATGCTATGCAATGCAAATACTTCAATCATTTAGAATGTTCGCATTTCCATTATTGTGCATGGTTACTCATTTTTGTTCAGGTGAAGGTTTAGGCTTGACTTGATTGAGCACCCACTTTTCTGGCTGTCTTTAGTATCTCTACCAACATCACATTTCAAATGCCATGATTTTTGTCCCTGTCTTTTTTCACTAAATTCTTTTTACGTGGTATGCATGATTTTGACCTTGCTTTCCAGTGACATTCTTTGATAAATTCAACCTCTTCCTTTTTTATTCTTTCAAAAAGCAAAAGAACCTATTCTGGAAAACATGCACACAACATATCCGTAGAGGTTTTGGTCCAATACAGCTTTTCTTCCTCACCTTGCCTAACTCAAAGAAAGGGATATGAAATTGGAACACTGCTTTCCAGTCTACATTTAGCAGAGTGGGCATGGCAACATTAGTTTAGCGGAGAGGTTAAAGGGTGTGTATGTTCCAAAAGATGAGCATATGAACTGTACTATGGTCTATGTACAGTATTGGCGAAGGCTTTCACAGCCGGGATCTAATGGTTGTTGTGGGTTTTTCGGGCTCTTTGCTAGACCAGTTAATGACACCCATCAACCACAGTGACAGATAATCTCTTCTCCTTAGCACAACAATACACCCGCAACAAGACACACTAATCACCCATCTACAGAAAAAGACAAAAGCCTATCTCACAACCATAAATACTGCACTCCCAAGCCTACACCAGAGCACAGGGTGCTGTCCTCTGAAGATGCCGGCCACAGAGATTGGTGAAACGTTAGGAAGAACAACCTTCAGAACACGGCCAAAGAGCCCGAAAAACCCACAACAAGCATGTACTATGGTCACTGGGAGAAAACAGAAGCAAGAACAGCTTGGATGTGGCTGTAGCTTCTCTGAGTCAAAATAGTTAAAGGGGCTGTTTTGGACTTAATGAAATGGTGAAGCAAAGGTGTGAGTTATTTTGGTGATTTTTTTCCCCTTTGCCTGGAACGGATTAATTAACATTTTGATGCATTCCTATGGGAAATGGTGCTTCGACTTATGACCATTTTGAGTTACAACTGGAGTTCCTGAATCAAATAAGTTTGTAAGTCGAGGCACCACTGTATTTCACCCCTTGTAGATTTTATGGTGAAATGGGGGGGGGGATTCTGGGTGACCACACATTGGGGCCTGAGGGACTGAGAGAAGGACCTCCTGGAAGATCTTAAAAAGTAGATGGAGATGGGTGTCATCAGCACACTGGTGGTACCAGATGACCAAAATCCCAGAAGCTGACTCCTTTTTTAATCAGTTAACCATTTCTTACCCAAACACAAAGCAATTGTTAGAGCTGTTTTTTAACAAGTGTGAATGGTAGTGAGCAGAAGATACCATTTTGACTGTTGCCATTGGTGTTGTCAGCATTCAGGCTGCTCTTTGCTATATAAAGCTTGGCTCCTGTTGGCAACACAGACACTTATTTTGCAGCAATATTGGGGCTTTTCCTGGCTTTTTAGATTGTGGGTATAGAAGCACAATATCCCACGTTCTTAAGATGGAGGCTTTTTTGAAAACTGAACTAACTGTATCTAGTCAATTTTGAGTTAGATCTCAGAGGCTCATTTCCTGTTGGAGCCCAATACTATTCCAATACAGACCCTCTTGGTATTTTTACCTGCATAAGCTCAGTTGAATTCAATAACTGCTCTGGGTTACGGTTTCTACCTTTATCCTTAGAAGATTTATTTAGAAGTTGGTTCACCGATGTATGTTCATACTTTGATTGGAACATCACGTAAGAATTTGCTTGTGTTAATGCAATGCCATGGAAATAACACTATAGATGGCACTTCCGTATTACTTCAAATGGCAATACTTGTGTTTGTATTTCCTGTAACCAATTGCCTGCTGTAAGGGGAAGAGAAGTGAAGTTAAATAATGTGTCTAAACCATCTCAGAGTGATTAGAATTGCAACTTGTGGCCCCAGTTGCCTGGATCAGTAGGGGACATTTGAGAAAATGTTGTTCAGCTTTACAGCGTAGACGAAACTCTACACTTCTGGGGAATTCTGTAACCCCTTCTTGTTAAAATGTGCAACTGCTGTTCCTTTAAAAATATGCCTGGCATGATTTCAAGTACTGTTACTTTCATCATTTCCCCCTAGTCTAATGTACCAAAATTTTCTATTGCTTAACTAATTTGGTATGTGAAACCATGTAGTGTCCTCTGAGTTTGCTGAGTTATTTTGGAAGATAAATAATCTCTGACCACAAAGAAGGAAAGGGAAAAAAAAGTAGCTTTATTCCTTATAAGGCATCACCAGACAACTTGAGCACTGTGAATGGGTGGCTGCTCTTTTATTGTTCAGTGTGTTTCATGCAGGCAAAGAGCTCAGAGTACTACCAGGAAATTGCAAGCAGCGTGCAACAAAACAAAAGCAGCATTTACAGAAGCAGCTTCTCCCAACAGTCAGAAACAGGATCATGGGAAAGTCAGGTTAGTGAAACATTTTTTCTCTCGCTGAAATGGCAACCCGCTCTTTCATGCTTACTATAAATCTTAATCTGTTCAAGGATCTTAATGGTTATTGATTCAGCTTCTTCTGATACTAGCCTTGGAAGAGTTTCTTTGTAGCAGTGAAACCCTGTGAGTGCTGTATATAATGGGCTGTGGGTTTTAGAGCAGCCCCTTATGTTGCTTATTTATTTGTTGCTATAAATAATAATAGTATTAACATGTTTAAACACTGGTTTCCTACAAGGATGTCATTAACGGTATGCAGGAAACGAGCAGCGAATAGCACCAGACTGTTTGGCAAGAATTCAAATAGCTTCTATGGTATTTAGACCCTAGGCCTCACAGCTGTGCAGGCTAGGATGAGAGGGAGTATGCTTTCTTCTTTTATATTGGTTGTAGCCCTGATTTGGGGCATTCAACAAACTGCATCTCTTTTGTATTTCATGGCTCATGTTTGGAATTGCTACTCAAATTTTCACCATGAAGGAGACAAGATCCTTTGTTTTCTAGAGCAATGTTGTTCTGGATCAGAACCATGAGTGTTTGACACTCATGCTCAAAACAGTACTCGGAGCTTTTCACCTCCATCTCCAGCCTTATTTGGGTTCTACCTTGAATTTTAGGCAATGGTTCCATAGTTTTTAAAGCCAGAATGCAACAGCTATTGCTTCCTCTAGCATAAAAAAATGTAACAATGGCAAATATAGAATCTATTCCATTTCTTCTACAGTGGTGCCTCAACTTATGAACTTAATTGATTCCAGAACTCCGGTCGTAACTCGAAATGGTTGTAAGTCGAAGCACCATTTGCCATAGGAATACATTGAAATCCAATTAATCCATTCCAGCCAAAGAAAAAAATCACCAAAAAGGAAAAAAAATACTGCAAGACCCATCAGAAACGCAATTAATCTGTTCTGGCTGAAGGGAAAAAAAGCAAAGCAAAAAGCAAGCAGAGTGTGCAAGACCCATCAGAAATGCAAAAAAAAAAGCAAAGCAGAAAGCAAGCAGAGCATGCAAAACCCATCGGAAATGCAAAAAAAGCAAAGCAGAAAGCAAACAAACCGTGCAAGACCCATCAGAAATGGGGGGGGGGAACAAAATGCAAACAAACTGTGCGAGACCCATCGAAAATGGGGAAACTCCCTCAAAAAAGCAAACAAATCCCACAAGACCCATCGAAAATGGGGAAAAAACTCCAAAAACAAACAACCCCTGTAAGACCCATCACAGCATAGAAACATAATCCTACCATCCAGCCAAAACCACACTGCAAAACCTAGCCAGAACCGTTTTTAAAAAGCAGAAAGCAGCACCTTACCTTACCAGGAAGTCCAAAGCCTCCTCCGATCACACTCACTCTAACTGCTAGGGTGAAAGAGCTACAAAGAAGCAGCCTCTTCGCCTACCAATGGTTAGCAATTTGAATTCCTCGCCTTTTTCCTCTGCCTTTTTCTGTTCATAACTGGAGGCTCCGGCCGCAAGTTGAAGAAAAATTTTGCGGCCAGAGCTGGTCATAACTCGAAATGGTCATATGTCAGGATGTTCGTATTTATGATCATTCCTAAAGACATAAAATCCCTGTCAGAAATAAAGATGTCAACCTTAAAGTGTCAGGGATGGAAAATATAGTTCCAGTTTTATTTATTTAATGTTGCTTGATTTATCATGTAAAAACCTGAAAATGTTAGTCATTGGTGGTTGGTAGTCCATCTTAGCTACTTTTATATATTGTTTGTTTAGTTGATCTACAGACTGCTAAGTCTGGAGAAAAAAAAATCTGAAGCTGTATCAATAGATGTAGCTATGATGGAGACCTGTATCTGGTGGAAAAGCAAGATATTCAACTCTTTTAGTGTGACTCATGTGAACTTCTTATGAACTCGGCATAGAGATGGGAGTTGCACTCCCACATACTACCCATTCTGCTTACTTAATTAACTATCTCTGTCTTCTGTGTTAGAATTCCTAATAGGAAGGGAATGAGGATATTATCTGTCCAGCAATTGTACAGTGGCACTTTGTGGCTCAGTACAGTGATTCAGTACTGCAGGAAGATTGATCAAAGAGCCCAGCATCAGTTGATGTAAGAAGGTTTCTTCGGTTGAGCTGAGCTGAATTTTTGAATGTCATTCTTAAGGTTACCAGTTCCCTCTACTGACTCCTGACAATACTCTTTTCTCCCATTCCAGGAAGAATAATTGAAGAGAGTAGATTTATTTGTTTGTAAAAGCATTTCTGCACCATCTTTTTGCATTAACAAGGGGCCCCTTTGTTAATACAAAAAAGCTTTCAGAAAATGGTACAAAGTAAAACAACACATTTAAATGGGTTTTAAAACCAAGTAGAATAAAATTAAAACCTTTGAATTAAAACTTAATGGAAGAACACTAGGTGTCAGAGATGTGGCTGGTTCAGTCTCCTTTGGGAAAGAATACCACAACATGGTGCCATACAAAAATAAAACACATTTAATGCAATGTGAGTCTTGTATTCAAATAAATCTAAAGTTTTATGTAGAAATTAGTCTTCAACTGCTTTTAGCAGTCTACCTGAAATTAGCTATTTACTATCCCTGTGATCTTGCTCTATTTTGCCCTGCAGCCCTTTTCCAAAGCTAATGTATTTAGGTATTGAATTGTTAAAATTAAATAAAATGAACACATTAAAACATTAAAATCAGGTATTTCTACATGTAAAAGCATCACAAGAAATAAAAAAAAAAACATAAACCAGTTTAAAAGATGTGTTTTAACATCCTCCCTGAAATAAGTGAATATGGAAAGTAATTGCAACTCTGAGGGGAGTGCGTTCCACCATCTGGAAGCCATAGAGGAGACTAACCCACACTCCATTCTTGTCAAATGGGCCTCTGCAACTGTTGTTATTTGCAGTCTGGCCTCTTCTAAAGATCTTAACTTCTATACAGGTACAGAATGAGACAGACGTTCCTTAGACAGGCAGATTTTCAGGACACAAGCTGTTTGGGGCTTTTGAAGGTTAAAATAATGCCTAGTCAGCAATGAGCAACCAGTGCATGTCTTCCAATATTGAGGTCTTAAGATTTTGATACGATGCACCCCTGAGCAGCCTAACCTCATATTTCGCCAACTGACTCTTCAAGGGAACATGCAGTAGCCTGGAGTACCACAAAAAAAGTTTAATAGGCAATTCTATTATCCCTGCACTGTTTGTAACTGTAAAGGTCTGTATCTTAGAACCTGGCAAACTGCTCCTTTGATGATAACATCATTGTTTTGACTAAAATTGTGGATGCAGTAGCCTGGAGTACCACAAAAAAAAAAAAAGATTAATAGGCAATTCTATTATCGCTGCACTGTTTGTAACTGTAAAGGTCTGTATCATAGAACCTGGCAAGCTGCTACTTTGATGATAACATCATTGTTTTGACTAAAATTGTGCAAAGCTTGGAAGACTAGGGCTCTTTAGCAGAAAGCATTTGTTGCATCAAAAACCTTGGAACATCTGAATACTTGAAAACCAGAATATTGTAATGATAGAGAATGCTCACTATAGGACCTTTAAACACCACCCCAATATTTACGTATTGTAGCATAAATACATTCAACTGTCAGGATTGTTATGGTACAGCAGCATTGCTCAGCTGGAGAGATGGCTAATTGGTTTGCAATGATTACAGTAAACTCTTGTTCCAACCTCAAATTTAAAAGCAGTTTCATTTTCAGCACTACTTTTCCTATACCCCCTTTATTATTATAATTCTCTGTAAACACAACATTTCACATTTCGATGGAAGTTTTTTTCAATGAGCCACTATGTACACTTTATGGGGGAGGTTGTTTTGTTTTGTTTTATCTTTAGTTGTGCCTCCCCTGTGAAATACTCTTTCCAGGGAGGCTGACCAGGCATTGTGCCTGTTTTCTATCTGGAGTCAGATGAGAATCTTTTAATAATTTATTTATTAACTAAATTATAGTGGACACCAACCCCCTTGATGACAGCTAGAATCAAGGAAAATCTGCACACATCTCAAGCTCTAAATATTAAACCAGAAGAGGCTAGACTAAGCCTGTGCAGAACAAAAACAGCACACCTTGCCAAATGGATGAATGCTGGAAAGTGCCAGCAGGATAGGACTCTCGCTGGACTAAGAGGAAGTCACTTAACAGACTCAAGTGAAGTAGGAAGATCAAAGAATAATAAAGTAAAATGGGCGTATCTGGATACAGGACAAATTTTCTGTGACTGTGGAAAAATTTATTCAATGTTGCACTTATATGCATGAACTTTATGCCCCCCCCCAGTGTAAAAATCTAGTAAATGGTTGAGATAATGCTATTGAAGTAGCCTGCTTCTGGTCAAAAATAGTCTAATATATTACAATTTCAATTTGTTTTTAAATTTACATTTACATTTTAAATAATTGGGGCCTATAACAGAATTATGGACAGTTGAGGGGTTTTCTGAATGCTAAGCAGAGGAGAGATCTTTCCTTTAAAAATGATGACTCCTGAACCACTTTACTTAAAAATATGAGAGGTCTAATTAAATATATTTACCAATCAAAGCCTCTCCTTTCCCCCCTTAGCCAAGGAAGTTGCATATGTGGATGTAATCCTTTCCCCATTTGTCCATGTATAATGAATACTTTTATAATCCATTCAAAATGAAACTTTTTCAGTTTAAACCACCCAAGGATGTGGACAGGATAGGATTCAACACCTAAAGAAGTGTGTTTGGACACATGAAAGCCTGTGAAAAATAAAACTATTTGGCCTTAAAAATGCTGCAAGACATCTGGTTTCTCTTTTGCTACAACAGACTAACATGGCTACCACATGGATTAGTTATTACATCTGTTCTAGACTTGCTGCTCCATTTCATAAAAGTGGCATGAGTAGGGGGGGGGACTGATCAAGTCAATAAGGATGACTGCCTCTTTATAACAAAGCAAGACTCTGTTTTGTCTCAAGGGGACAGTAGTGAAAACTTGCTTT